GTCCAGGAGGCACGTGCTGCAGCTGAGCAGGGCTGACTGTCGGGCCACATCCTGGTACATGGTGCCAAGCTCTTCGCTGGCCCAGAGAAACCCATGCATTCCTGGTCTATTCATGCCCAGATGGGGAATTTCCTTGCTTGGTGCCCACCGACTGGTAACCGATAACCAGCGTCACTGAGGAGCAGCAAAGCCGCCCGTTAACCAAAGGAGTCCTCAGGCCGTGGTAGTGCTGGGCGGCGATAGGGCCGAGAGACCTGGCCACACCAGGCTCCCAGCAAACCTCCCCTCTGCCTTCCTCCTTCCCCCGCTCGGGTGTCCCCGCCTTTGTCCTGAAGGATACTGGAGACCTCTGTGTGTGTCTCCCCTGTCCCCAGCAGCATCACGTTCTCCCATGCATCAGTTTCAAGCCCCAGGTTTCCCACCATCCTGTGGCCCCAGTGGCTACACAAACCCACCTCTGGGCTCTGTGCTGAGACCCCCACGTCCAGGACGAATTTTGGAGGTGGGTGCACACACCTGTGTGGAAAAGGTTTAGATGGCATAAAAGGGTCACGACGAAGAGTCCCCACAGCTCCCACCCAGAGAGAAGCACAATCACTTTGGGACTGAGACCTGACCTCCTGCCCTCCTCTCAGGGGTGACAGCCCAGTGAGGACCATTGCCCTTGAGGCAGCCACTGTCCTCTGAGCAGACTGAGATGGAAAGTGGCGCCTGGGGAGGCTATATCTCCATCAGAGCCAGGATGAGATGAGGAGGAGGTTCAAGGATCGGGTGGAGGAAGAGCCACCCGATGGCAGGGGTGTCAGCTTCCACCGGAAGCTACTGTTGACTTGCTGACTTTGGGGTGCATGAGCTTCCGGCTGCATTCTGGGCAACGGCATCAGTGCGTATCTGGCTCTGGGTGCGTCTCCTGCAGTGACCCTCAGCAGCCTGAGCCTCAACATCTGGGCGGCGTGTTCCGGCTGCTTCTGTGATGGAGAACACACGTCACATCCAAGAAGGGATGGGCCGGCAGCACAAGATGGGCACAAGTGTGAGACAAGGAGATGTCACATACAGGCAGGACAGGGCTGAACTGCCTTATCTGGGAGCCAGTCTGTGCCACGTTGGCTCTCACTGTGCACGTCTGGGGCAGGGACGGACTGCAGGCTGGGCAGGTCACTCAGTATTTTGGGGCTAACTCTAGGCCAGGTGCACGTGCAGGTTCTCTTATGGGTCCACACACCACCCTGCGGAGCGGTGAAGGGAGGGAGGCTGTGAAGAGGGCAGCGGCCCTCCTTGTGACCTGAGCCACCGTGTCCTCAGTCTCAGGCTGAACTGCCCTTATTTACATATGACAGCTGGGCAAGGCTGGAATTCAGTTGGGGCCATGTTTGGTCCAGTGCTGATGAGGGAGGCATGGTGGTCTCACATCAGTGGAGAAGAAATAGGGCCTGGGCATACTGAGGTCGTTTAGCAGCCCAAGGATAAGTCCTGAATGGGGCCTGCCCACCCCCTCAACCTCCGTTTACCACTTCTGTCCCCCCTTGTTTGTGTGCCTAGCTGTGTTGAGCTCCTGCACTCAAAACCCAGGGATTACTTTATGAGGAGTCCCCACTGGTAACAGAGGGTTCTGGAGGCCCATCTTGTGCCCCAAATATGGGCCAGCAACCGGAGCATGGATCTTCCCACCAGCTTCCTCCACAGCCCCCAGGACTTCAACCCAGTGAGGGTTGGCCTGGAATGCAGCCCCGGCCTGTGGGCGCAATGCTATCCCACCTGCACCAAGCCCTGCACCTTGGCCGGGACCTTTGCTGTCTGTCTATCTGCCGGTCAGGCTGTCCCACCCTTCTGCAGAGGCACTGTCCAAAGTCAGGGTTCTATTAACCAAGACATTCATCCTTTGTCACATGTAACCGTGTCACGGTTTGTTGGGGGAGGGTGCGGCCGGTCTGTGAGCCCCTCGGGGCCTGCACCCGCCTTGGTCTTGGCTGCAGGACAGTGAATGGACATCCAGGTGGAGTGTGTATCCCACAGGGGAGCAAGGGTTGGAGCATATCGGCTGCTCAGTGTGCACTGGTCGCTACTGCTGCCCGTCTTGTCTCACGTCACCTTCACACATGTCCCAGGCCAGATCTGCCCCATTTGCTGGGTGGGAAATTGGCTCATGGCCCAGATCAGGGTGGGCTCCCTGGCTCCGGGCATGTGCTAAGTGCTCTGTGCTCCTCAGACCAACGTGCCATGCTTAGAAAGCACTGGCACTTCCTCCTTGTGTCAAGCTGTGGGGGACGGTCTGGGGTCCAGTGGATGGCCCATCCCACGGTCCCCTCCGTGATGTGGACCTCCCAGTGATGTTTCTCCCTCTCCATGCAGCACATCTCCATCCCCCAGCCTGACTGCCCCACGGAGGCGCGGACCTTCTCCTTCTACCTCTCCAACATTGGCCGTGACAGCCCCCAGGGCAGCTTTGACTGCATCCAGCAATATGTATCCAGGTAAGGCCCCATCTGGGCGCAGTGCCCCCTTCTTCTTCTTCTCTTTTTTTGAGGGGGGGTATTTATTTAAGTCATCTCTATACCCAGTGTTGGTCTTGAACTCACGACCTCAAGATCAAGACCCGCATGCTCTACTGACTGAGCCAGCCAGACCATTCCAGATCCCCCTTCTCATACCCGAGCCTTGCTGCTGCATTCAGTGTGTCCAGGGCACAGGTGCAGGCCTGCTACCTCTGCCCAGGGGCCTGGGTTCCCTTGTCTTTTCCAGGTTAAGATACGCTGTGTGGAAACGATGCTGCTCAAGTTAGCGCTGGCCCCATTTCCAGCTGGGGGGTAACGGGGGAGCACGGGCGCCCAGACCGTGTCTCCCTGTCATCCCAGGAGTTCACCTTAGCTTCTGGCCCCTTGTTTTGCAGCCACGGGGATGTTCACCTGGACTGCCTGGGCAGCATCCAGGACAAAATCACGGTGTGTGCCACCGATGACTCCTACCAGAAAGCACGACAGAGCATGGCGCAAGCTGAGGAGGAGACACGGAGCCGTGGTGCCATCGTCATCAAGCCTGGAGGCCGCTACCTGGGTGAGGATGAGGCCTGCGACTCCGCCTGTGGGGGGGCTCATGCCTGCTGGGCAGCTGTGGTGGGGAGCAGGAGGGACTGAGGGCTTGTCCTGGCCAGGAGTGGGAATGATGGGTTGACAGAGGTGCAGCCCCAAGCAAGGGGAGCCATCTCTCATTGTCAGGTCAGAAAAGGTCCTGTTGTACTGGCCGAGTCTGTTGGGGGCTGTGGCACCTGCTGATTCCCCAGTTTGAATATGAGCCCCAAGAACTCCAGGAATTCCGAATCCACGAGCCCTTCTCTCAGGTTCTGACCTCGGGAATCCCTACCCATCAGGGAGATAGACACGCTCCTCGATGGCAGGGCTGGGGTCTGTCCTCCTTCAGCTGCCACCCCTGCCCTCACCCGCCTGGCTGGCTCTTCCCCAGGCCTGACACGGCCAGCGGCAAGGTGCCGATTGTGAGATGTGCCCTATGGCAAATAGTCTGCTGCTGGGTTGGGGCCAGCAAGGGCCTGTCAGGTCACAACTGGGAAGGAAATGTGTTGATTTCCTGCTGGACGAGAAGGCTCTGGCAGCTCATCATCTGCTTGGAAACGGTTTTGGTGAAGTTGAGACACCAGCAGCATGAAAAGTGTTTACTTTTAGGAAGCTCCATTCTTGCTTTAGTCTTCCCAGCACCTAGACCCAGACAAGTTCAAGAGTCCTCAGGATTCAAGGCCAAGGAGAAGGGCGTTAGGCCCGAGAAGGGCACAACATGGCTTACAGCAAACAGGACCTTAATGGCTTTTGGGGGTTTTTGTTTTTTAAGAAAAGGTGGGAGGATTTCAAAGGCCCCCAAAGGAGTATGTGATTTCACTGGCGTGGCAGTGGGGTTGGCTCTGAGCGAAACCCTAGGCAGGAGGAGTCCATGCTACCAGTGAACGCTGCATCCTGCTGGATGTGGCCGTGCATGCTGAGGGAGCCCATGCCCAGGGCTGTGAGCTGCTGCTGGGGACAAAGCCGCCCAAGGGCAGCAGCCAGAATCCAGAAAAGCTTCCCCTGCCTGCTCTCGCCTCAGCGTGCAAATGTGGACATTCATATACATCTTAGTAAGTTTCTGGGTCCTTCAGCCAAAAACTTGGTCAAAAGTGTGGCTTGTTGTACCACTTTGGGGACGGCGAGAGTTCTTGGTTTCGGTTCTGGTGGCAGCACTTGTCTCCTGGCCTCTGAAAGCGTAGTCATGTATGTCCCACTGCGTCAGGCCTCTCCTCTACCCTGCGTCAGCCCATCAGCTGGGTCCTCTGGGAACAAAGTCTGGCCCTAAGGATTTTGACAGCACTCCTTCCCATATTAATTTGACAAATGAGATTTAAGGGATGAGAGCAAAACAAAAAGTTCTTGTGGAGAGCTTTCTGGCCCAAGGACGTGAGGCACGCGCTGACCTCACTTGGCCGTGCACGTTCCCTCAGTGGCCGTGCTGCCGTCCGGGGTGGAGTTAACAAATTCTGAGCAGAGGCCCCTCCCTCAAGAGCAGTGCTGGAGTCTGTTTGCACTAGGGGGGTGGGGGATCGGGCCGCTGCCCCCCTCCCCCGGGACTCTGGGTCTGTCCAAGAAGCACTTGACGGGGCTGCAGCCTGGGGAGCTGCTCCTACCCCGGGGTCTCCAGAGAAGCTGCCCAAGCGGCCCCATACCTTTATCCACTCCTCCTTTATCATAAAAGAGAATGGCGGATCCTGTGGCTGGAGAGTGCTGTGATGTGCAGGCTTTGGGGGCGCCTGCCTCTGGCGGTTCAGGAACCCCACCCTTTTCATCAGCCGCCCTCTCCGTATAGCGGTCGGGCTGCCCTTGATGAAATCCATTAAAGCTCTGAACACACCTCTGTTTCCTGCAGCTCCCGCTTCTGACACTTGGGGCCCTGCGAGGGCCTGGTAGCTGTGTGTGGTCAGTAGATGGTGTACTCCGCTCTCCAGGTCCCCACGGAGCAGGCCAGGCTGGATGGGGCTCCAGCTGCCTTCCCCTTGGGCTGTTGGCCGTCAGCAGGCGTCCACGTACTCGCTCAGAGTTCGGCATCAGCCCCAGGCGGAGGGACACAGAGGCCATACCCCCTCACCCCCTTAGATCCCTAATGCCTTGGCTCTCGTTGCAGGCAAGAAGGTTCAGTTTCGGAAACCAGCTCCGGGGGCCACAGACGCCGTGCCCTCCCGGAAGCGGGCGACGCCAATCAACCTGGCGAGTGCCATCAAGAAGAGCAGTGTTGGTGGCATTAGTGGGGGCAGTGGGGTGTCTCAGAGGCCCTTCCGTGACCGAGTGCTGCACCTCCTGGCGCTGAGGCCCTATCGGAAGGCCGAGCTGTTGCTACGGCTGCAGAAGGACGGCCTGGCCCAGGCGGACAAGGATGCGCTGGACGGCCTCCTCCAGCAGGTTCGTGCTTGCCCGGGGCCGGGTGGAGGGTTCAGTCAACCTTGAGTGGCCTCGGCAGAGGGTCTGGACACAGGGGTGCTGGGAAGAGCCCTTCCTGGGATCTCTTCCAAGATTCGCAGCCTGCCTCAGAGCCTCGGCCTTCCGGGTTAGGACCGGCTTAAGGGTGTCACGGACACGTTTCTGGCCATGGTGCTTCTTGTCCAGTGGCTCCGAGGTTGGCTCCGAGGGAGGTCAGCATGCTCCTCCTTCGCTGTCTGCTACCACACAGGCAGCGGGCACAGCACAGAGGATCCAACAAAGACTTCGCCGCCGGAGGCTTTTAGAATTTAAAGAAGCCTGGGTGACCGCATATGTGAGTTAACAAGAGCACAGGCTCCACGGTCAGTGGGCGTCCCTACCACACCAGCCGTGGCTCTGGGCAAGGGGCTTCACGTGGAGACCCTCAGGCTTCCGTGTGTGGCTGCAGCTTGCCCGCAGCACCTCTTGAGGGGTTGAACGTGATGTCAGCAGATGAAGCCTGCTATTAGGGCACAGCTCAGGCTTTGGAGCAGGGGTGGGGGGGGGCCTGCCTCCCAAAGCCCCCGGAGGGAGTCTGAGGACCCCTGGGAAGGTGAACGGCTCGCTCTGGCTTCGCCACATCAGCCAGACCACGCAGATGCCTCCTTGCTGTGAAGTAGCCCTGCTTTGAGGTCCACGTGGCTGGCATGACAGTCGCATCCTGCGGAGGAGGCGTGGCCGAGCCTCCAGGGATTCTGTCCGCCAGCTCACCTGCATCCCACCTCAGACGCTCCTGGCAGCAGTGCAGAACTCACATGCTGTGACAGTTGGTAGCTGTGTCTGAGGATGAGCCACGGGGTTCGCGGCCCCTCACGTCACCAGGACCCTGGCCTCAGGGGCTCTACTTGGCAGGAACTCCTGTGTGGATGTGGCCTCTTGAGCCACTGTCCCCCACTCAGAGGCTGTGCAGGCGAGGACCAAGCTTTAAGGTTTCTCCCTCTGAGCTCACGAGTTGGCTCCTGGCCTATTAGAAGGTAGATATGTAGCTTGATGGCTCAGAAGTTTTCTTTGGCAGAGGGGCTTGCCAAAGCATCCAGAAAGCTCCAGAACAGGAATGATGTTCTTAGGGGGCTTGTTTCCTTGGGAAGTCGCAGGTGTCAGCCTTATCCTTGGGAACTCAAGGGAAGCACAGTGGAGGCCCTTCCCCTGGGCTGGAGCTCAGAAGGAGGCAGGGCTGGCAGATTGCCAGGTCTTCAGACGTGAGCCAGGACTGAAGACGCAGGTGGGACCTGTGCCCACCCTGGACATGACTGTAGTCCACACCGCTGCCCGGTCAGGCCGCCACTGGCCCCTACTGTGGTGTTCTTGGGAACGCCCATGCTCCCACCTTCCTCTCTTGCCCTGTTTGTGCCCAGAGTAAAGAAGAAGCACTTGAACCCCTCAAACCAGGACATGAAACTTAACTGACCGTGCACACAGTTACACCTGAGATTTACCCTCTGAGCAGTCCTCCGATGCAGCAAGAATGCCAGCGGGCTCAGTTTTCCAAAGAGAAAGGGGATCTGTCGGTGCTGATGTCGTTGTGCCAGGGGTTCCTGCTGCTTTTTTAACCTCTGAGATGCTCTCATTGCTCAGGACCAGAGAGGTACCCTGCTGGGCTCTGGCTTCTTAGGTTGATTTGGAGTCAGCAGCCTCCCGTGGTGTCGGTGGCAGAGGGTGCTCCCCATGTCTACTGTGATTTCTTCTAAATGGCCCCATCTGCCTTGTGCTTCTGTATTTACTACCCAGCTTGTTCTCCCTGGTGGTCATGGGCAGTAGCAGGACCCCATCAGCTTGAGGAAGGGGAAGGTCTCTGGGAACACTGTGGGCCGGGCCTTGCCCCGGCTGGTCATTTCCAGCCACCCCCAAGTGATCAGGGATTCCAATGAGCAACACACACGAAACCACACTCCTCAGAGGCACCTTCCCTCTTCCTTCTGTGAAAACATCCAAAGCAAAGATTTAAAGCATCTGTCTCCGGTGCTGGCGGGGCCTCAGAGAAACCCACAGGCTCGTCCTCCATGGGTGGGAGTGTTGACGGGTGGGTGGCTCTTCTGGAGAGCATTTTAGCAAAACGCATCAAGAGCCATAAAAATGTTCAGAGCCTTTGACCCATTAATCCCACTTCTGGGAAGCTGGCCGAAGGAAAACGTCGCCAGCATGGAAAAACCTGCACACAGCGGTGTCTGTTTATATGCTACAGAGAAACTGGAAATGGCGTCAGCATCCAACAAAGGAGAAACCTTTGAATAAATCACAGTGCAGATGTTTGGTGGAATATTACTCAACCATTAAAAAATGTTCCCTGTGGAAACCGCTGTGACACAGAGTCCTCTCAGAAGCCCGTGAGAGTGAAAAACAGCCGCCGCGCCAGCTCCCTGCGGCCGTGTGCTAAAGGCCAGCGAGATAGTCCCGGAAGTACCCGCTTTGGGGTGGGGCCCGAACTCCTATAAGCATCCTCAGGGTCAGCGTTTTGAGTCTGCCTTCACAGTCTTGGAGACCAGCTCAGCCTTTGCTACCCCGCCCGAGCAGGGCTGGCTGGTTGCGGGGAAGGTGGACTTAGCCTGGCCCCTGGAGGCCCCGGCTGCCCCAGCCTCCGCCACGTGTGTCCCGGGAGTGTGTATTCAAGAGCGGGCGTCGGTCTGTTCAGACTGCTGTTGAGAGAATAACATAAACTGGTGGCGTATAAACAACAGACGTTTACTTCCCGCAGTTCTGGAGGCTGGGAGGTCTAAGATCGAGGCGCCAGCAGATTGGGGGTTTGGTGAGGGCCCCCTTCCCAGTTCACAGAGTGGGTCTTCTCACTGTGTCATCACGTGGCAGGAGTGGCGAGGGCCCTCTGGAGTCTCTTATAGGGGGCGCTGTCCCGTTCATGAGGCCTCTAAACCCTCATGACCTCATCACCTCCCAAAGGCCCCACCTCCTAACACCATCATTTTGGGTGTTAAGATTTAACCTGAATTTGGTGAAGATGAAACGTTCAGTCGGGAGGCTGGTGATGGGGCTCGGCGAGTATAGATGGCAGCACCGCCCCTTTAGGAGCCAACCTGTCTTCCGGCAGCTGTAAGACGCGTGTGTCAGGACCTGGTGTTCTGACCCCTTTGCGTCCTAAGGCTTGCTGCCCCGGTAGGCAGGGGATTTGGCGGGGGGCAGGGGGGGGGGTTCTGTCCTCTTTCCCCTCCTGTGTGTCTGCCCCCACCTTCCATCAAATGCTTTCAGTAGCTCCTGCTTCCCCTGGGCTTCCCGCAAGGTGATTCTGCTTCTTCTTACAGGTGGCCAACGTGAATGCCAAGGATGGCACATGCACGCTGAAGGACTGTGTGTATAAGGATGTGCAGAAGGACTGGCCTGGCTACTCGGAAGGGGACCAGCAGCTGCTGAAGCGGATGCTGGTCCGGTAATGCCGCCTCCCATCTCTGGGCCTGTCCCCACACCTTGGTTCTGGGGCAGATCTCCTCCTGAGGATGCTGGGGTGGCCTTGTGTGGTTCTGAAGGCCACAGGGCCCTTGAGCAAGATAGAAGGATCCATGGAGACTCTCTGGCAGCCTTTCCCCGCTGCCTGGGATGCCACGGTGCCCGGGCAGGCCACCGTGGCCCCTTGTCGGGGGAAAGGCCAGCCCCTGCTGGGTGGAGTGGAGGGCACAAGTCACTGTCCTGAACACCAGAATGCCCAGACAGAAGGATTCAGTCCACCCAGCTTATCCCAGTGCCTCCTTTCCTTTCCCATCAGTCTCCCTTCCCAAACCTGCACACCCCCACAGGCTTCTGCTGTAGGCCACTTCCTTCTTAAGAAGAACCTCTCGAGATCTTGAAGCAGAGAGAAACAAAGCAAAACAAAACTCCCCACAGACATGATTAAGTAGCATTAATTAAACACATTCCCTCTCAGATTAATTGGGACCTGAGGTCAGGAGTGGCCTTGGTGGCCCAGGGGAGGAGTGGTTAAGTAGGCCCCTGCCTGGCTCAGGCAAGCAATTAATGATTTCCTTCTCAGTTGATGCCTGACTTGGGAGCCGGGCTGTGAAGCGGCTTTCAGAGCAGGCTGATACACTAATTAGTCCTTAAGTGATTTCTCAGGGACTTGGAGTTATTTATGAGGTGTGTGTGTGTGTTTTGAAGTTCAGCTGTTTAAAGCACTAATTGCGTGTAGAAAGCAAAGCCGATTTGGGGCCGCTCTAGGTGAACCCGGAGATTCTCGTCAGCCCTGCAGGGCACTCCTCCCCAAGCCAGTACCTGTTTCTAGGCCAGCCTAGGGTCACGGCTCCAGCTGTCCAGAGGTCTTGGGGAGACTGAGAGGAGGGGTTTTCAGCAGAAAACCACCCCCCCGCCCCCATCCCCTCTCTGGGGTCTGCTGTTGCCCCAGCTAAATATGTCTTGAGTTGACCACTGTTGAAATGGTCAAGTTTACCTACCCAAGTGCTTGGAGGTGGCAAGGGGCACACGAGGGACACTCACTGCAAGACTGTTCCTGTCCTCCCGTCCTTCAGAGCCTCTCGCTAACTGGCTGCTGTTCTCAGACCCTGAGGGCATTGGCCACACTGAGCTCCCCAGAAGGGGAATGGCCAGGAGTGTGTGTGTGTGTGTGTGTGTGTGTGTGTGTGTGTGTGTGTGTGTGTGTGTGTAGGTGGGGTCAGTAGGAATCTCGGCTCTGGAGCTTTGTGCAGTTCCGGGCTCATATTCCCTGTTCTGCTGAGTGAGCTGCCAGGACTCATGTAAACCCAAGGCACTTGGCTTTCTCCTGGGCCAGCATGGTGCTCTTCTGTCTGCATGGGCCAGCTTAGGGATCAGCCTCGCCAGGAAACACTCGACTTACCAGCAGCACCTACCGTCCTTGGAAGCTTGAACTGGTTGGTGTGCAGAAGTCAGGGTCAGCATCTTCGATGCCCGTGACCAGGCTGAAGGTGACCCCAGCCACCTGTCTGCTCAGTTCTTTTTTAGGTTGTTCACGCCCCGAAGAAAACCCCATGCATAGCAGTTCTTGAAGCCATGGCCCCATGGCAGGAAGGAAAACTGGGCCTTGGGGTATTTCTGCTGGTGGGGAGTAGGGGCGAGTGTCACCCCAGAAGCTGGGCCATCTCCTTTTCCTACAGCTTGTTCAAAATCCATACCTGAGTTAAGCACGCTTCTGCTTGCAGAGTCTACCTGGGCCCCTGAGGCTTTGCTCTACACAGACACCCACTTCCTGCATCCTTTCGATTCTTTCTCTGTGCTTCTATTCCCCATGTGTGTAGCTGCTGGGGCCCGTCCTGCCCCAGCTGTTCCCAGTGCAGGATGAGACTTTGGCAACGTTGCCTGGCCTTACACTCACTCCCCTCAACCCTGCCGCCACCTGCACTTGTCCTGGCCTCGCTTCCCCGAGGGCAGGCATCTGGACCACACGCCAAACCACAGTCACCATCCCATCACATACGCTCTTTGTGGACTTGGTAACCTGCTTGGCTGCCCTGTCACTTACTCTGCTCATTCGCGTTGTCCTTCACAACCCAAGCTTCCCGTGGTTGTCCCATGGCCTTTTGTCACTTTCAGCAGATCAGAGGTCCTGCCGGTTCCCCCAGGAGACCGCTCCACTCCTGTTCCCCTCTCACTCTCCCCTCGCTCTCCTCAGTCCTCTCCCTCTCCCTGTGCAAGCTCTCCCATTCCTGGGTCTGCGATTCTGCCCTGGTGCTGAAGGGATACAGCTCCTGAGGAAAGGGCTTTGATTGGCCCCTCTGCCATAGCTCAGTCAGATTGGATTGGCAGTTGCCCAAGTCTGGGCCTGCAGATCCCGAGGACTTTTGCCTCCATGTTGAAGGCCTGGCCCACAAGGGTTGGAGGTTCCCCACCCAGCCATTTACACGTCTGCGTGATCACGGCGTGGCCTGGCAGGTGCTCTGGGGCGAGTGTCTCTGCTCTCACAGCCTGAAAACTCCCTTCATCCTTCTTCCCACCCTGTGTGTGCTCCTGGAAAGGCTTCCTATGCCCCTCCGGCAACCTCCCTTTATGTGAGGCAGGGGGCAGAGAGGGGGAGGGGAGTGGGGGGTGTCCTCTGACACGGGGGCAGGGTTGCGCTCCATAAACTGTCCACTTGCGCATCTTCCCCATTGCACGTCGCTCTCTCTCTTCAGCTTCTCCCATCCCATCCCTTTTGCCAATTGTTTCTAGTTCCCACTGGTCTTTGGTCTGGTTTTTTGTAGCATCACATTCTCATTCCGTGGGAGTGATGTTTTTATTTTAAAATTTTTCATTGTTGAAGTATGGTTGACATACGGTGTTACATTAGATTCAAGTCTACAGCATAATGATATGACAGTTCTGTACATTTTTCAGTGCTCACCAGTAAGTGCAGTGTGGTCACCATCTGTAACCCTGTGAGACTGTTACAGTGTTACTGACTGTATTCCCCACGCGGTACTTTTTGTGCCTGTTCCGGGGACTTAATTATTTTATAACTGGAAGTTTGTATCTCTTAATTCCCTTCGCCTCTTTCTCCCCCCCTCCATGCCCCTCCCCTCTGGCAGCCACCAGTTCTCTGCATTTATGAGTCTGTTTCTCTTTTTATTTGTGTGTGCATTTTATTTATTTATTTATTTATTTATTTCATCTTATGTTTTAGATTCCACATATAAGTGAAATAATATGGTGTTTGTCTAACTTATTTCACTTAGCATAATACCTTCTCGGTCCATCCACATTGTTGCAGACAGTGAGGCCCCATCCTTTTTTATGGCTGAGTAATATTCCGTTGTTTTTATGTTCCACATCTTTTTTATCTGTTCGTCTATTCGCGCGGCCGCTTAGGTTGCTTTCATATCTTGGCTATTGTAAATAATGCTTCAGTCAACTTAGGGGAGCTTGTATATTTTTGATTCGTTTGTTTGTTTCCTTTGTATAAGTACCCAGTAGTGCTATTGCTAATTGCCTGGTAGTTCTGTTTTTAAATTTGGGGGGCGGGGGACCTCCATGCTGTTTTCCACAGTGGCTGTACCAGCTGCCATTACTCCCAACAGTGCAGGAGGGCTCCCTTTTCTCCCCATCCTCACCAGCACTCGTTTCTTTTCTTTTCGATACTAGCCGTTCCGACAGGTGTGAAGTGATATCTCATGGTTTTGATTTGCATTTCCCTGATGACTAGTGATGTTGAATATCTTTTCCTGTAGCTGTTGGCCATCTGTAGGTCTGTGGGAAAATATCTGTTCAGATTTTCTGCCCTTTTTAAAGTCAGATTATTTGTGGGGTGGTTTTTTTTTTGGGGGGGGGGGTGTTGAGTTGTGTGAGTTCTTTATATGTTTTGGGTATTAATCCCCTAGCAGATGTATAATTTGCAAGTATCTTTTCCTGTTCAGTAGGTTGTCGTTTTGTTTTGTCTATGTTCCTTTGCCGTGCAAAAGCTTTTTATTTTGATGAAGTCCCAATTGTTTGTGCTTTTCTTCCCCCTGCCTGAGGAGATGCATCCAACAGATATGTTGCTAAACTCAGTGTACAAGAGATTACTGTCTGTGTTTTCTTTTTAGGAGTTTTATGGTTTCAGGTCTCACATTTAGGTCTTTAATCCATTTTGAGTTTATTTTTGTGTATGGTGTAAGCAGGTGGTCTGGTTTCATCCTTTGGCATATAGGTGTCCAGTTTTCCCAACAGCATTTATTGAAGAGGCTGTCTTTTCCCTGTTGGATATTCTTGCCTCCTTTGTCCTGGATTAATTGACCATATAAGCGTGAGTTTACTTATGGGCTCTCTATTCTGTTCCATTGATCTATGTGTCTATTTTTTTTGTGCTAGTATTATGCTGTTTTGATTATTATAGCTTTATATTGTGTCTTTTTTTTTAATTTTTTAAATGTTTATTTATTTTTGAGAGACATACAAGGTGTGAGTGGGGGAGAGGCAGAGAGAGAGACACAGAATCTGAAGCAGACTCCAGGCTCTGAGCTGTCAGCACAGAGCCCGACGCGGGGCTCAAACCCGCGAGCTGTGGGATCGTGACCTGAGCCGAAGTCGGACGTTCAACCGACTGAGCCACCCAGGCACCCCTATACTATATCTTGAAACACGGGATTGATGCCTCCAGCTTTGTTCTTTCTCACAATTCAGTGGCATTAATTATGTCCACAACATTGTACAACTACTACCTCTAGCTGGTTCCAGAACACGTCCCCAGAGATGGAACCCCACATTAGCAGATACTCCCATCGCCCTCCCCCAGCCCCTGGTAACCACTGATCTGCTTTCTGTGTCTTTGGATTTGCCTGTTCTCTCTGGACGTTTCATATAAACGGGATCATACACCGCGTGGCCTTGTCTGACTGGCTTCTTTTACTCTGTAACGTTTTTTAAGGTTCCTGTAGATTGTAACACGTGGCAGAGCCTTGTTCCTTTTTGTGGCTCAGTAATATTCTCTCGTGTGTGGTTATACACCACAGTTGTCTATTCATTCATCTGCTGCTGGACCCTCGGGTCGTTTCTTTCTCTTGGTGATCGTGGGTAGCGCTCCTGTGAACATTTGTGTCAGAGGATGTGTATGGACATAGAGTCTCAGTCCTCTCAGGTGAGGAAGGAGGAGTGGAGTTGAGGTTTTCAAAAAACTGCCAGACTTTTCTACACAACAGCTGCACCATTTTACATTCCCACTAACAATGCACAGAAAGGTTCCAGTTTCTTCACATCCTCACCAGTACTTGCTTTTCCCCCCCCATTTTCTGGTTTTTGTTCTGTTTGGTTTTTTGTTTTTAATTCTAGCCCTCTTATGGATGTGAGGTAATATCTCATTGTGGTTTTGATTTGCATTTTCGTGACGACTAATGGTGTTGAGCGCTTTTTCATGTGCTTCTTGGCCATTTGTGTATCTTCTTTGGAGAAATGTCTATTCTCGTTTGGAGAATGACCAATGTCTATTCTCATGTGGAGAAATGTCTATTTGGAGTCCTTTGTCTTTCTGAGGATACTAAGGCTGGTGTTTCTGTTGTGGATTTAAAATTTTCATCTGCTTATAGAGTCTCTCTTCCCTTTCAAATGCATTTTCTTGTCTCTCTCACATTTGTTACCTGGAGGCCCGGGTGCAGGCCTTCAAGACTTTCCTCTGAGCGGCTTCACCTCCTCAGGAGGGCTGCTGAGGTTTCTCTGAAGCCCCACGGGCCCCTCCCTTTCCGCCTCTCCTGAGGCCACACGTCTGTCCATTTTGTTGTCCGGGTGTGTCTTGAGCAGCCTCCTGGCCTCCCAGAGAAGGCCTGGGCTCCTTCACTCCTCAGCATACTGTGGGATCTTTCCCCGCAGTGGACCAGGATCCGGAGCAGAGAGCGCACAGCCCTGCAGGAGCCCCTTCTCTGCGGTCTCTGAGGCTCTGACCCCCAGGCCCGTGGGGTCCCGTGGCCTGGGACCCCGTTTTCTTGGCTCCTATAAGGTAGTCAACACTTCTGCTTTCTGCGTTAGACCGTGCTGCTGTCTTTCCCCTCTTTCGTGCCTTTTTAACGGAGGCTAGAAAGAGTGCATGTGAATGCCTCCGGTTGCTTCCTTGTGGCCCGGACAGTAGACTGGCAGTACCCCTTGTGGCCACATGGACTGTTTTACCCTGGTGCGTGCTTGCGTGTTGCAGGCCCTTTTCCTGTGGCTCTCCTTGCATTTGGGGCCACTGCGGAGGGGACAGCAGCAGTGGTCTGTAATGTGGCCATCGGTCAAGGAGTTGTGCTCTGCTTGTCAGTGCTCAAGAGCAGTGCAGACGACATGATCCCCGTGGCAGACATTTGCAGGGCACTTGGAGGGCCCGCGGCACCACGCACAGCACCGGGCTGGCGGCTGGGCTCCTGTGAGACTCGTAACCTCCAGGAATATGAGAGGTGGATTAGAGAGGGGCCTCAGGCCAGGGTCACTAGTAGGCCTTCTGTTTGCCCATTGAGTGTCAGAGTGTCTCTTGTTTGGTCCCCGGCTGCACTGTTATGCTCAGGTACCCCTCCTGTGGATCGCTGGCTGCCCCTGTCGCCCTTGAGGAGGTATTGTAATGTGGCTCCCAGGAAGGTGAGTCCTGAATCCGGGAGGACTTCCTGTCATGCCAGGTCATCTCAGTCCCCTTCTGCATTTTCTAAAGTTTCTGCAGTAAGCAGCATTATTAGGACGAATGATTTTTTTTTTTTTAATGTTTATTTTTGAGAGAGAGAGAGAGAGACACAGAATTTGAAGTAGGTTCCAGGCTCTGAGCTGTCAGCATAGAGCCCAACGCAGGGCTCGAACTCACAGACAGTGAGATCATGACCAGAGCCGAAGTCAGACGCTCAACTGACTGAGCCACCCAGGCGCCCTGAATGATTGTTTTTAAAAGGAGGGGGCCGGTGCTCCAGTTTACCCAGCTTCCACAGGGACGTGACACAGACCTTGAATATCCAGTCAGTTTTACTTGGGTCCCTGGTCTCCACAGTAACGGGTGTCTAGATGAGGGGGTGTCCACTGACCCTTCTGGGTGCAACAGGACACTGAGCGGGGTGGTCCTCTGGGCTATGGAGGAACCCAGGGTGGACATGCTCAGGCTGCTCTCTGCCTACCATGCCCTGATGTTCCTGGGTACTCAACCCCGTTCTGGTTTGCCAGGGCAGCTGGCCCCTCCCCAAATCACTGGGTGAGGGTGGGACAGCATGGTGTCCGTGGAAAGGCAGGTGGGCCTGGGTGTGCGGGGCCTTTCAGCTACCCCACTTCTCCTTCATAGGAAGCTGTGCCAGCCACAGAGTGCAGGTGGCCTCCCCGGAGACCCTGCTGCCTCCAGTCCTCCCAGGGAACATGGAAGCTCTGCCTCGCCCCCTCAGGTAGGAGTGGCAGGCATGGGTGTGACCGCAGGTGGTGGTGGCAGTGGTGAGGGGGGAGGGCGGGGTAGGAGCCAGGGGGCCAGGCCGGACCTCAGTGTTCGGGTAGCCTGTTGGGCCCTTGGCTCAGGGCCGGGTATGTTCTGCAGTGAGTGAGCAGCTGCCTGGCTTCCCCCAGTCTGGGGCCCCGGGCCCGGGCCCTTGGCGCAGTTGCCTCGAGTACTTGTGGGTGGATGGAGAGCAGGCACCGCGTTGCCCTGAGCCAGCAGGCATGGCAGGTGCACTTGCTTCTCAAAGCTGTCTCGAACATTCTGTAAAATGGAGTGTGCTGGCTGCGGGCACAGGGCCCTGTGAGTGGTGGCCGCTGCTGATTTAATCAGTAGTCAGCAAGGGCACTCACATGTCCCTACCCGCATGCTCTGGCCCGTGAGTCCCTTGTCCCAGGTCCCTTATTTATCTCCCTTCTCTCCTTTGCCTTGGAGGCTCCCAGCCCGTGTCCAAGGCTCTGAAGCCTGCTTGTGGCGAGGTCAGGTCTCTGCGTGCCCTGGCTTTGGGGCCAAAATAGAGGGCTGAGGGCCCCATTGCACTGCTTCCCCCTGATCGCGGGCCTGCAGTCCACCATCTTTCTATCTAGCTGCTTCCCTGGGTCTGGGCTGTCTGTGGTCCGTCCCTGCCTCACGCGCCTCAGCCTTCTCACTTGTGAAATGGGGATGAGGCCTGCACACCTAACAGGGTTGCCATGGGGATCCAAGGAGTCCTGGGTCTAGAGGGGTGGATATCCCAGCCGGTGGGGCTGCCCTGTATCCTTCAGACTTGATTCTGTCACCATCCCCCTCATCTAGGGAAGATGCTGGAAGCAGCGACATTTCAGACCAGTCCCTAGAGGTGGCCTTTTTGAGTGCTTCAGCTGGCCAGTTCTGCTGATGCTGCTTCTCTGCTCCTACGCAGGGTGGGCTGAGCCTGCCTCAGCAAGGGCCTGGCTGTTTCTGTGTGCCCCCTTGTGGCCAGAGTGGGCCTTGCAGGTGGGCACCGGGTTTCTTAGGGCCTCGCTGCTGAGCTCAGGGCCAGCCTGTTGCTCCCCAGCCACTTCTCAAGGGACACCAGTGGTTCCAGACACAGTCTCCCTTTTAAAATTGTTTCCCTTCCTTTGTAGAAACGACCACAGCCTCCTGATTTCATCAGTTCCCTGGCCAACAAGAAACTCAGGATATCACATTTCACCCAGAGAGCTCAGCCTGCCATCAATGGGAAGCTGAGTGCACCCCATGGCCGCGAGGCCCTATTGCCTACCCCAGGCCCGCTGGCTGGCACAGATGCCCACCTGCCCCCGCGGTTGGAGCCCCCGAGGGCCCATGACCCCTTGGCTGACGTCAGCAATGACCTGGGCCACAGCGGCCGGGACTGTGATCACGGAGAAGTGGCCACCCCGGCCCCGACTACGCGCCTCGGTTTGCCCCTGCTGACGGACTGTGCCCAGCCCAGCAGGCCCCATGGCGGCTCATCGCGCAGCAAATCCAAGAAGAAGTCCAAGAAGCACAAAGACAAGGAGAGGGCAGCTGAGGACAGGCACCAGGCCCGGTTGCCAGACCACTTACCCAGCCCCCTTGGAGCCCCACCAGATGCCCCGGGTAGGTACCAGGAGACAGGCCTGTGGTGGGAGACTGCAGGAGGACGTTGCCAGGAGCCTGAGCTCCCCACACCCGCCATTGCTCAGAGGGGGCTGTACCACCCCATGGGCCCCCATATTGGCACGCCCTGCACATTCAACCCCTTTGCACCCTGTGTTCTTGTACGAGGTCATGAGTGCCCCAGTGGTCTTGGCCTTGGAGGCTTCTGCAGTCCTGCTGTGTGCCAGGCTGGTGCTGGGTGCACAGAACCCGACCGAGCTGAGGCCTATGGAGGCAAACAGCGCACCCGGAGAGGAGCTAGTTCCAGGCGACAGCCCTGGCTGCAGGGAGGTCCCAGACACTGAAAGGGGAGCAGGGTGGGGCTGGGGTTCAGGGAAGGCAGTGGGGCGGCACGTGGGCCGCCGCAGGCCTTGTGTAGCCTGCTGACTAGTGAATATTTCAGCCCGTGGAGACTGGGTTTGGGAAGCTGTCCATAGAACAGCAGGCAGTAGGGAGTCAGGATGAGGTCATGTAGCAGGTGCGGAAGCCGAAGTCGAGAAAGCTGGGATCACAGCAGCAGGTACAAGGCTGGCTGGAGAGAGAGCAGGAGAGCCTTTGTGGGGCCCAGAGATACCGGGAAGGTGTATGGACAGGCCAGGCTTGGGGTGGGAGTGGGGGTCTTCACCCCCGGAGCTTGGGTCACCTTGAGTTCACGGCCCTAGGCGCCCGAGCTGAGCACCCCACGTGGCTGTTAACAGAATCAGCATGATGTGGCCACAGAGATGCAGCTGCACCTGCCTCCTGCAGGCAGTCTCACGCTGTGTGACTTTCTGCCGCTCTCAGATTATGTGTCCAGAAAGGATCCGAGCAGGAGGCATTCCTGGGACAAGGGTGGAGCTGCATTCTCCTTATTTTTAATGAGTTGTTCAACTGCTCTCTAGAAAGGCCTTTGCCGGCCCCTCCCTTGAGGTGAGGCCTAGGTCCCTTGAGCCTGTCCTGCCTGGGGAGATAAACCCTGAGCGGGCGCAGCCGGTCAGCACGACCTGTCCCAAACGGTGAACGCAAGACCCCATGTGCCCCTGGAAGGGCCCTGGGAAGGAGGAATACCATGGGGTGGGCCCCACACGTGAGGCTCAGGTGGCTTCAGGTCCTGCCCAGGACACAGCGGCCTAGGTAGCTTGTCCCCGGATTAAAGTGAGAAAGTGAGGTTTGGAATCGGGCAAACCAGGGAGTAAGATGGCCCGAGGGAAGGGATGAGGACAACTGAGGCACTGGGAGCTGTGCCTTAGGCTGGGTGACTGTCTTCATCTGCGTCTCGCAGGTGCCTCGAACGGTAACAAAACGGTTGGGCACAGAGGCCCCCCGTCCTGCTCCGAGGCTCCTTCTGGGTTAGAGTATGTGCTCTGCCTGTGCAGGCAGCCGTACAAGCAGGAGACACCCACCTTGGTTCTTTGTGCACCCTGCCTCTGCTTCAGACTCACTGGAGAAGGTTCCAGGTCAGCATGTGAGGACGCTTTCTTGGTCTCGTGTTCCACACGGGAGGCACAGGCATTGATTTAACCCACTCCTCTGTGCGGTACTGTCCCAGCCCTGCGCCATGATTGCCTCTGACCCTGACAGATGCAGCATCTGCCGGGCAGATGGCTCTTCTTAGCCACCCCTGTCCTGACGCCACCTTGGGCCCATAACCCCAGCTCGTGCCTGTGCTGCAGGTGCACTCCTGGGTCCTACGCCCATCCTTGTGTCTGCCCCCCACTCTTGCTCGGTCCCTGGACCCCTCCTGTTGCTTCAGCGTACCTTCCTGGGCAGGCTGGTGTACTGGGTGTGGGGGTTGGGCACAGCCAGGGCGAGCTCAGGAGGCCCACGGACCTCTGAGGGGTCGGATGGGGAGTCCCTCTCACAGTGGGACCCAGGCATGGGGGAGGCATAGGAGAAGCTGGGAGAAGGGACAATGGAGGGGGCAGCTGTGGGGGGGGTTCCCTGTAGGCCCGGGCCACATGGTGGGAATCAGCTCGGCTAGTGAAGGGGCAGGGTGGCTGAGTGAGGACGATGCACAGAGAGTGCTCCAGTAGGAGTAGGGCCTCTAAGTTTTGCTCAGGCCGGCCCCCAGAGGTGTCTCAGGTGGTAGGTGAATCTGACCCTGAGCCTTGGTTTCTCCATTTGTTCTCTCACCTGAAGATCTCAGGAAGGCCAAATGAGGCAATGCTGACTGGGCCCACGCATGGCAGAACACTCTGGAAGGCATACCTTATGCAAAGCGTGGGTCGCGGAAGCACAGACTAAACTTACATGTGTGTTCATCGGGCCACGGCCCCGAGGGAGGGGAGAGGTGTGCTCCATGGTGGGAATCATTACCTGCAGCCCAGGGATTCCCAGGTGGGCTGCTTTCCAGTCAGAGGGACACACAGTGGGTACCGAGGATATACTGCACGGTGACAGATGTCTTCCATGCTGAGAAAAAAGGCCGTCTGAAAGAAGCCCCCCCCCCCCCCCCCCCCCCCCCCCCGGAAATCTGCTAGATGGTAGTTTTGGTCTACTCTGCCCCCAAGCGCCGCGGACAGTCCCGTGTCCTCCAGCTCCTCCAGCTCCTCCTAGTGGACGGCCTGGGATGCGGGCAGGAACCAGGTGGCCATCTTTCTTCGTCCGGCAGGGCCAGAGACCTTGGACAAGGGCGTTGCTTGTTTTCAGAGTAGCGGTCTTTTACATGCAGTCAGCAGAGGTAGCAAGGTCTCTGGATCGGTCAAGCTCTGAACAAGTGGCCCATGCGTCGGCCCTGTCGTTAACGTGTCCTTTCTGCTGCTTGCCGGAAACGTGCACGCGGCACGCCAGGGCTCCCTGCGCTTTACACGACTGTGGTGCAGGGACGCACACTTGGCTCGGCTGCGGCGCTTCTGGGTCCAGTGAGGCCCCCGAGGTGTCGCTTGCCCAGCCCTCACACTCCCTCTGCCCTTCCTGACCCCCCTTCTGCTATCCTTCCACGTCCTCCGGACAACAGAGCTTGGTGCGGGTCTCGGTGTGGACTCAGAAGGTACGCATCTGCTCTTCCTTCGTAGGTTTAAATGGGGCCTGCAACAGCTCGAGCGTCCCCACGTCAACCTCAGAGACCCCCGACTACTTGCTGTGAGTACTTCCCTGGTTGGCCCCCCTCTCCCCGCCCCACACTCTCCCCCGCACCGCGAGTTAGCAGAGGTAGGATCCGACTGCGTGTTGCTGTGTGGGAGTTCTAGGACCAGGCTCCCGCTCAAGCCAGGAAATCACCCACGAGGTGGGGGCTGGTGGGGGGCGGGGCGCGGCGACCACGGGCACCCCAGCCTCTCTCCGCAGCAGCCCCCTGGGCCCTGCTGGCCCCTCTCTCCCTCTCCCCAGGAAATATGCCACCATTTCCTCCTCGGAGCAGCGCCAGAGCTACAAGAACGACTTTAACGCGGAATACAGCGAGTACCGCGACCTGCACGCGCGCATTGAGCAGATCACACGGCGCTTCACGCAGCTGGACGCCCAGCTCCGGCAGTTGTCCCAGGGCTCCGAGGAATACGAGGTGGACACCCCCCTCCCCCGCCACTGTCCGCCGCGCTCACAGACATACTCTGGGCTGGGGGCCCGGCCCACCCCGGGCGCTGCACACTTGCCCCCCGTGCTCTGCACCCGACCCGGTGAGACGGGCCTGTTTCTCATGGGTGCAGCCAAACCCGAGGCCTCCAGCCCTAGCCATGGCCCCCGAGCCTGGCCTCTACCCCTCCCAGGTGAGGAGGGCCGCCGCATCTGCCGGTGTTTCTCACTGTCACGCCTGGCAGTCAGCTGTCCCTTGCTGCTGATGTGATTCAGGCCCATCCCCAGGGCTCAGCCGTGGAAGTCAGCGGGCTGTCACGCCAACTTTGGCCTCCTCTGCAATGGGGACGGTGGAGGCTGACTCCGCAGGTGGGAGATGACCTGTTAGGGCAGGGGTGGCGTCTGGAGCAACTGAAACAGCCAGGTCCCGCACAGAGCGGTGGGTCGGATTACTGGGTCCCCCCTGCAAGAGCACCTGGGGTCCTCTCTGCAGCTCACAGCCCATCCGTGCTCTCAGAGGCACAGGGGGAGGGGCTGGAGGGTTCCTGTGGTCCCCTGCCCGTTTTAGGACTCCCTCGTCCTCTGATCAAAGGCGTGCAGGCTCCCCGAGCTGACCGTGTTGGAGCTCACCGGTGGGGGGTCGGGGGGGGGCTCTACCCTTGGTCAGCAGCCCTGGGACTCCAGCCTCCCCTCATGCCACCTTTCGGAGCTAGTTATCTGATTGATCGGGTGTTGAGGTCCGTCTCCCCTCGTGGGAGCCACCTTGGTTTCCAGACGAAACCAGCTTGTAATTAGAGGCACGATCGGGGTTCTGAGGGTCTGGGATACATGAGTCCCTGGGGTCTCTCTCTCTCTTCCCTCCTGCAGCCCCCACGTGGACATCCCCCAGTAGCTCCCTGCACCCTCGGATGGTTGGCCTTGAACAGAGGACAGGCCAACTGGGTGTGAGGGAAGGAGGCCACCCAGCCTGCTCTTTGCCTCCTCCCTCCCACGGTTCTGACCGGCCCCTCCCACTGTGCTGCCCATCGTGCTGGTCCCTGAGGCTGGGCCCCTGCCTCTCTCTCCCCTGGCCCAACATCCTCCCCCCACCTCCTGCCTTGTTCATCTCCCCTCCCCACCCCTCCGCCTGCCTCTCTTTACTTTGGTCAGCTTCCCTCACGCCATGCTGAGGCTATTGTCTCAAGGCAGGTGGTGACTGTGCAGGTCACAGGTTATCAGGGAGAAGGGGTCACTCAGTTGGGGTTTCCTGCAGCCAGGGTCATTGTTCGCTTTCTTTTGTTTTCCAGACTACTCGCGGGCAGATTTTGCAGGAATATCGAAAAATCAAAAAGGTAAGTATCTACCCTTTGTGGGCTTGGGGAGGGGGTCAGACGAAGCTGGCTTAAGGTGAGCAGCACTAGAGTCCGAGAGAGGACGGAAGGGGGATGGGCCTTGGCTAGGCTGGAGTCTTGGGTCCTCAGGGCAGTCCCTGCCCCCATTGACAGCTAAGAAACTCAGCCCGTCCCTCCCTGGGCACCCCAGCACCCTCCAGCTCTCCCACTGCTTCGTGGGTGCAGCCCCCAGGCTCTTTCCGGCTCCCTCCAAGGTCAAGGGAGGAGCCGAAGCTTCCCGCCCCCAGCTGCTAGTCTGGCAGGAATGCCTAGTCAGGGCTCTGTCAGTTCTTGCTCCTCAAGGCCACGAGCTGTGGGTTCACCACGTGTGTGCCCCCGTGTGCCAGGGTGTTTCTCTGCCAGCCAGGTCCCAGCCCAGGAAGGAGACTTTGTGACAGTCTTGCCTCCGACCCTCATCCTGGCAGTGACCGTGTTTCCCAGGATGGGGCTCGGTGGCGGGGGGACACCAGCCCAGGGCTCTGGCCCAAGGTAGAGCAAGGGTCCCTGTCATTGCTTGGTGGGCACTGGCCTGCACGTAGGGGGAGTGGGAGCCCGAGGCGACCAGCAGGCTGGCCTCTTCACACAGGGCACGCTCTGGGGTGGCGGCTGCAGGATGTGGCTCAGCCCTGCCGCTGCTCTCTTGCAGACCAACACCAACTACAGCCAGGAGAAGCACCGCTGCGAGTACCTGCACAGCAAGCTGGCCCACATCAAGAGGCTCATCGCCGAGTACGACCAGCGACAGCTGCAGGCCTGGCCCTAGCCTGAGGCCACGGGGCTGGTGGTCCAGGCCGGCTCCCCACGCCGGGCCAACCCTCCTGGATGGTGGGGGAGCTGGGGGTGGGGGGTGGGGGTGGTGGGGAGTTCCAGAGCGGAAAAAAAGAGATTTATTTAAACAAATAAACACGAGGAAGACACATTCATCTGAGCCAGCAACGCCGGCTTTCGGGGGAGCCCCTGCAGACCTGGTGCCCACAGGTCACAGATCCAGGTGCAGGGGCCGGCGTCTCATCCCACTCCCCCGCCCCCCCCACCTCCTGAGGAGCCCCCACCTCTTCTCCGGCCCACAGCCCAAGGGGCTTGAGCTTCCCCCTCCCCGAAAGACTCCAAGGCCAGCCTGCCTGCCTTTTCTAGTTTTATACAAAGACAGCCACTTTTAGCTACTGCTTATGAGACTTCAGTCTATTTTTGTATGAGAGAGAAAGCATCTTTTCTAAACCTGTGCCTCCCCTCCTTGGACACCAGGGTCTAGATGCCGCCCTGTGTCCTTTCTGCAGTATTACAGATGCCATCTGAAAGTCTTGCTCCTGAGGGCTGAGGAGAGAACCAAGGAGGGGGCGGTGGGCAGGGGCGGGGGTGCAGCTGATGCCCACGTTTGGCTGTGCTCCCGCCCCGGGCCCTCCCCACAGCCCCGGGCCTCTCCCGGCCCAGGCCGGGACGGGGTCTCTGCTCTAAGGGGGGTAGAGGCCCGCCCAGGTCTATTTCGAGAACTCCAGCTGGCCCCAGAGCAGCTGCTGAGAGCCGGAGGGGCAGAGCGGCTCTCGGCCCACCAGGCCTACCCTGCTATTTCAGGCCCTCAGCTGTAGGGGGTCACTGGGGGTTTTCTGTGCTACGAGCTCACACTGCAACAACAGTGTCGGATTTTCTTTTATTACGTTCTCCATTTCCCCCTTTGCTGCTGCTTTTCTTTTCGCGCTGAGACCGTGTGGTCTCCATGCTGTTGACCTCACTCCATCCCTCAGTCCACTTGTGGGTCTTGGGGTCATCTTAGCAGAGTCACCGCAGGGTTTACACTCAGGGAGGGGCTGGGGGGGGGGGGTTGATGGGGTCATGGGACCCCCTGAGAGTGAGCTCAGAAAACGTGCCCCGTCCGCCCACTCTGGGCGGGGGGCGTGGGATCCATGGACACCATCATTGCTGCTTAGTAGCTGTGCCTAGTCTAGTGTCCCCCAGTGTTGGGGGACCACATGTATGTGTGTGTACGTGTGTGTGAGGGCCCCGCCGGGGTGCAGTGGGGACAGAGGCGTGTGTTCACATTCAGGGCCGCATTCAGCGAAGCCACAACCAGGGAAGGCAGACGGAGAGGCTGCAACCTGGAGCCTGGGGTCATGCGCTGGGTGGGTGGGGGGTGCTGTCGCCAACAGTAGTGAGGCAGGGAGAGCAGAAATGCTCACGCAGAAAAATGTCTATTTTTCCAAGCCATGGGGACGTCTCCTAACGGTTTCCCAAAGAGCAGGTGCCCTCACGGAGGCACCGGCAGTGTGCCTGCCCCACCCAAGGCTCCTTTCTTGGGACCCCTGGGATGCCCCGAGCACCGAGGGAACTGACCCCTCATGTTTCAGTGGTTGTTTTGTTTTTTTTTATTTGGGATGGAGTGGGATAAGGGTTGAGCAGACTCCAGGGACCCCCCCAAGTTCTGCAGACAGCCGCGTTGTACGCGTAGACTGTCCTCAGCTGGACGCGCGGACCCGGGTGAAAAGGGATTATTTAAGGAGGCTGCAGCCCTCGGGGCTGACCCGGCCCTCTGCCCTGGGAACCGGTTCAAGGGACTCTCAGTTGAATTTCCTTTTTGTTGTTGGCTTTTTGTTGTTTTTTGTTGTTGTTGTTTTTCTCCTTTTAAGGAATTATGAAGCTAAGAAAAAGTTTTGTGCTTTGGGGGTTGATGGACAAAAGTTCTGGCTGATTAAATATGGTCTAACTTATTGATACTGTGTTTTGCACCCCCTTTTTAATATTGTACTGTGGAGAAAAACTATTTTGAGCCATGGAGTTGGTGTTTACAAGAACTTTTCACTTTTGCCAAAATGTTACGATTGAAAGGCATCCGCGTCTTCAGTTTCCTAATATTTTCTTAAAAGATCTAGTGTCCTTTTTGTACACTAAACAGGTGAATGCTGATTTTTTTTCAACCTACAATAAATTTCACTGAACCGAACCTAGCAGCCCGGAGTGCCTGGGTGCATTTGTGTCTGTCACAGCCAGGGGCCTCCTGGGCCCCTGTGGGGGAGGGCTGGGGTCAGGACTAGACTTGGCCGGCCCCGGAGTAGCCATGGTGATGAGCACACGTGGGGGTGAGGCCGGCCGGTGGAGGCTGACCCGGCAAGGTGATGGGCCCTGCAGGTGCCAAGGCATGAGGCCAGACCACTTGGTCACAGGCAGGAGAGGAATGGACACTGGGGATGTGGGGGCAGCGGGGAGCCAGGGTGGTGTATGAGCAGGGCCGTGTCCCCGGGTGTGGACAGGGTAGGCCAGGCCCAGCAGAGGCCTCCCGAAGTGCCAGAGCCCCCAGGAGCAGGGAACGCGTGGGGCCAGGGGAGCACCCATGTTTGGGGAAATGATGAAAACGGCGGTGACGGCACTATTTTATTGTTTCTCCCAACTAGGCCGGCTCGCCGGGGCCGCCCCTGTGCCCATGATGGGGATGGGGACGCTGAGGCCCAGTGGAATCCCACAGGCCCGGGATGCCAGCAGGGATGGCTGTCCTTGTCCCATGTTCCAGGTGAGGAGCTGAAGGCAAGGCAGGGGTCAGGGTCCTGTTCTTGAAGGACGTGGTGCGGGTGGGTGTTTATCTTAGGAAGGAAAAATAGATAAAGAGTAAGACTGGGATTAAAGGGGTCCAGGGGTCAGGGGCTGTGGGCCTTAGCCTCTGGGACAGCCCTGCTGGCCAGCAGCCTTGGTCCGAGTTCTAAGGTGGCCTGGGAATCCAAGGGGCGCAGGAGACAAGGTCAGGCAGGCCCTGTGGGGCAGAGTGTACCCTGCTCCCCGGGCGGCCTGCCTGTACCGTTCTTCTTGGGGATAACATCTCTCTCCCCCACGGTCTGGAGTCCAGGGCCAGCGTCCGCCTCCTTCAACCCCGTCACGCCTCAGCTTCTCCTTGCCCACCCGACTCCCTAGGCCCTCCACCAGACTTCCCTGCAGCCCCCGTGCCTCCCAGGGTGGCCGTCACCCCCGGCACCTCAGCGGCAGGCAGTCCCGTGACCATCCTTCCCGCGCCAAGGACGTCACAAGTCCAGCCCCCCAGCCCCAGAAGGGTCTTCCCAAGCTCACAATCTGTACCATGGCCGAGGGGCTAGGGGCCGCCCACCATTCCGGCCACTTGTTGGACGACATCCCCAGGTGTCATCTTGCCGGCACTCCGATCCCACAGTCCCTCCTGCGCGCCAGGCTCCACCTGGGCACTGGCACTCGGTGGCTGAGACAGCCCTGCCCCTGCCCTCGAGAGCCCCACCAGGGTCCCCAGGTGGTCCCTGCGATCACTGTACGGTGCCCACTTGTCTGCCAGGATTAGAAGCAGCCCGAGGCCACGTCCTCCCAGCCCCCCACCCAGCCACCCCACTGCCCTTCCGGGGAGCCTGTCTGGGTCAGCTCTGCCCCCACCATCTTCCTGGCCCCTCCTGCAGGCCGCCCAGTGAATGCCAGGGCTCCCCAGGCCTGGGGCTGGGGACCTCTCTGGTCTCTGCACACATTCCCAGGTCACTTGTCACGTGGAGGCACAAGCTCCCTCCCGTCTTCTGGCACCTACTGGATTTCAATTCTTGGAGCTGGCATCAGACCCCACAGGTGAAGGGCTCAGTCCCACACAAGACCACCCCGACTTCAGACACCTGCCACAAGTCTCGGGCCACCCAAACTTCTGACCCACTGGCTATACATCAGGGGTTCCCTCGGCTCCCCCCCTTGGTTTGCCAGAATGGCTCACAGTGCTCAGGAGAACACTCCCAACAGCCGGAGGAGGTAGATGGTGAAGGCAGGGAGCGAAGAATGGCACTGGGCTTCCATGCCTTCTCCAGATGTGCCACCGCCCATCATGGGGGCAGCACCGTCATGTGCTTCCCGAGCCCTCCTTGTTGGGTTTTTGCAGAGGCTCCGTTATGTACATATGATGAAATCACTGGCCGTTGGTGACTGGACTCAATCTCCAGCCAGGAACTGGGGATGAAACCCAAATATTATACAATACTCCCTCCCTCCAGCCTCGAGGGTCTGCCCTTGTCCCCAGACCGCTTCTCTTCCCTCCCACCCGGCCACCTTTCCATCTGCCCCCGAACCCACTCCCCCAGGTTTTTGCCTGGGCAGTCCTTCCTATCTCCCCATAAGAGATGTCCTCTTGTCTCAAGAACCTTGCAGCAACCACCTCCTCCAGGCAGCCTGCCCTTGCCTGACCCTATCTGTGAGTTGCCTCTGGCTAGGTAGGGGCGCCCCAGTGTACTTCGGACGCCCCTACACTGGAGCCCCTTGAGGGTAAAGCCTGGAGCCAGAGTCTGGAAGCCCACAACCCCCAAGGCCAGGCCCTGACCATGTTTCCTGCAAACGTTCCCAACTATCCACCTTTTGGGTCAGCTCCAGTGGTGGAAACTTTCCAGCCGGAGGAGGCCGCTTGTTTTGGAAAGTTCCTGGGGGAGCCGCCCCCGCCCGCCCGCCGGGTTCCCACGCTCCCTTATCACTGGGTGCTAGGGGGGCGCCGTGCTGTGCCTGCCTAGCTCCTCCCCAGCTGACCTCGTTGGTCCTGTCCACCCCCTCCCTTCCGCTGCCCTCTCACCAAACACCGGCCCCCTCCAGCCTGGCCCTGCCAAGCCCTCCTGCCACAGGTAGGGAAATCGAGGCCTCGCAGCGCCCCCTACACGCACCATGTGAGCCCTGTCGGGAGTGTCTTCTGCTCAGGAAGGGGGAGGCCGAGGCGGCCTAGGCTGAAGCAGTGTTTGGCTCGGGAGTCAAAAGTTCTGGTCTTAGTTTCCACTGCAGTATCTCGGACCCAGGTGCCCAGCCCCCCTGCCCTGCTCCAGCTCCACCTTTTGCTTTGTGGCTGGGCCTGGCGCGCTCTCGCAACCATTATTGTCCTCTTTTGCAAAATGAGGCAAAGTGGCCGAGCGCCTTAAGCGACTGTGGTGCGAAGTGAATCCACGCGCTCCGTGCTCGGGCCGGGGTCTGGAGCCCACGTGGATGTCCTGCCGCGCCAGGCAGGGCGGGATCCCAAGGGCGGTGATGGCTAAGGTCTCCGGGGCCTTGAACCCGAATCTTAGGCAGACGCGCCCCTCCTCCCCGCGCGCCCCTCCTCCCTGGCGCGGGTGGGGTGAGGGGCGGGGCGTGGGCGGGGCCGCGGCTCTTTTCTCTGGAGTTCGCGCGCCCCGAGCCCTCGCCGTCCGCCACTGTCCGAGTTGACTCCACGCCGGTGAGTGCGTCCCCGGGTTTGGTGCGGGCTCTCCGGGGACCGCAGTCGCCTCGGTCCGCCGGCTCCCGTGTCGCCGCTGACCTGCCCACCCTCCGCCCCTAGCTCTCCGCGATGGAGGCCACAGCCGAGTTCGTGGTCGAAAGCCCCGACGTGGTCTACGGCCCTGACGCCATCGAGGCTCAGTACGAGTACCGGACAACGTGCGTCAGCCGCGAGGGCGGTGTCCTCAAGGTAGGCAGGGGACCAGGAGTTGTGGGGTGGGAATGGGGGAACTAGGGAGCCAGGAGGGGACGGGAATGACCCAACGTCTGTGGGCCTGTCCCTGCAGTAAGAGGGGGATGTGGCCCCAGACTCACTGCACCGCCCGTCCCCAGGTATACCCCACGTCCACGCGCTTCACCTTCCGGACCGTCCGGCAGGTGCCCCGGCTCGGGGTCATGCTCGTCGGCTGGGGTGGGAACAACGGCTCCACGCTCACCGCTGCCGTGCTGGCCAACCGGCTGCGCCTGTCCTGGCCCACGCGCACCGGCCGCAAGGTGGGGGGTCGGGTGGGGCTTGGCCTTGGCCGGAGTCGGTGCGGGAGGGAGAAGGGCCTCTAGGGGGCGGAGCTCTACGAAGGAGGGGGGGCCCTCAGGGGGAGGAGCCTAAGGTGCCGGCCGGCTCCCGTGGTGGGGGGAACCTCCAAACGGGGAGCCGCTTCTGCGGCTGAGGCGTCCAAAAGTAAGGCGGAGCTTGAGGATGCCGGGCGGGGCCCTGGCCGGCCAGCGGCCCACGCCACGCCCCACCTCACTCCGCCCCGCCTGCCGCCCCCCAGGAGGCCAACTACTACGGCTCGCTGACGCAGGCCGGCACCGTTAGCCTGGGCTTGGACGCCGAGGGCCAGGAGGTGTTCGTGCCCTTCAGCGCACTGCTGCCCATGGTGGCACCCGACGACCTCGTGTTCGACGGTGGGCGGGGCCCTAGGCAGGGGCGGGTGGGAGGCGGGGCCTGGAGGGGCCTAGGTTCCGGGCTGGGCTGAGCTTGGGGGTGTTAGCCTCCCACCCCGCACCCCGCGCCGCAGGCTGGGACATATCATCCGTGAACCTGGCTGAGGCCATGCGGCGCGCGCAAGTATTGGATTGGGGACTGCAGGAGCAACTGTGGCCACACATGGAGTCCCTCCGCCCCCGGCCCTCTGTCTACATCCCCGAGTTCATCGCCGCTAACCAGAGTGCGCGTGCGGACAACCTCATACTTGGCACTCGCGCCCAGCAGGTGCAGCCCCGCCCCAAGTCCTTTATCCCTTGCCACTTGTTGCTCCCGCCGTTTGCCCCCACGTTCTCTATCCGTCTTTTGTCTTCACGCTCCCATCCTGAGGGTCCACACCTCACTCTGCACTTGGGCAACTGAGTCGCCCAGACCTCTCCAGATCGAGGGGCCTGTACGACCTCCTTCCCTCCCCGCCCAGTTGGAGCAGATCCGCAGGGACATCCGTGACTTCCGGTCCAGCGCTGGGCTAGACAAAGTCATCGTCCTGTGGACAGCGAACACGGAGCGCTTCTGCGAAGTGGTCCCAGGCCTCAATGACACTGCTGAGAACTTGCTGCGTACCATCCAGGTGGGGGTGCACACGGGGTTGGAGAGGGGTCAGGGCCAGAGCCGCAAAGAACCCCTCCGTGCTGACTGCCCGCCTACGTCCGCAGCTGGGCCTGGAGGTGTCGCCCTCCACTCTCTTCGCTGTGGCCAGCATCTTGGAGGGCTGTGCCTTCCTCAACGGGTCCCCGCAGAACACGCTGGTACCCGGGGCCCTCGAGCTTGCACGTCAGCGACGCGTCTTCGTGGGTGGAGACGACTTCAAGTCAGGACAGACCAAGGTCAAGTCCGTACTGGTGGACTTCCTTATTGGCTCCGGCCTCAAGGTGCGTGGGCCCCGGGGGTGCACGGCGCAGGAGGGGGTGCTTGGACCCTAAGCGCCGGGGTTGTGCGCTGTGGGGCCTGCAGCTGCCGCGGGGCCCCTTTTTCCCCGCAGACCATGTCCATCGTGAGCTACAACCACCTGGGCAACAACGACGGGCAGAACCTGTCGGCGCCGCCACAGTTCCGCTCCAAGGAGGTGTCCAAGAGCAGCGTGGTGGATGACATGGTGCAGAGCAACCCGGTGCTCTACGCACCCGGCGAGGAGCCCGACCACTGTGTGCGTGGGCCGTGGGCCGCTATGGGGGTGGGGTGGGGCTGGGGGCTCCCGGCCGAGGAGGGCGGGGACCCCTGTGACCTCGTGCTGCCCTCCAGGTGGTCATCAAGTACGTGCCGTACGTGGGCGACAGCAAGCGTGCGTTGGATGAGTACACGTCGGAGCTGATGCTGGGCGGCACCAACACGCTGGTGCTGCACAACACGTGCGAGGTGCGGGGCCCGCCGGGGCGGGAGGGGGGCTGCCCACCGGCCCCCC